AACATATTGTCTAACTTGAAACAAAAAACAAATAATCCTTTTCGTCATGAAATAAAATTCAATAAACTATCTGTAATTTTGTTTTTTAAATTTTAATCCATAAAAAATAAACGAAGTTATTTGTATTGCCCAAAATCATTGTTCCAATCATCTGTTCCCTAATGAAAATGAATCTATAATATTAAAAATTATAATATTATTAATATTATATTTATAATATTAAAAATTTTAATATTATTAATACGATTAAAAAATTATAACGAATACTGTATTTTAAATATTTTGTGACGATTCACAGAAAGGTTTTTCTTCCCTCTACATTTAATTTCATTGAAATCTCATTCATTCAAGTCTCTGTATCGAATCGATTACATAACAATGTCACAATGTCACTGTTTCGTCTCCAATTATGTTATAAGATTCCTATAATTAATCGAAAAGAAAAGAAACGTCAGTGGCGCAGAAAACTTGACACTTACACGTTCTCTTTCGATTGTCTGATCATCATTCAGCCAGAAGGCAGAGAAGTCTTTGGATCCAAAGACTTATAGTCCTTTCAATCAATCTATTCTGAGACATCTCCTTTATGTGGATTCTGGGTAGTCTGCAGATCCTAGATTAATGTCGTTGGGGCTGTACTGGACATACCACTAGAGGCAGTTAGATAGCGAATGGCAGTTGAGGGAGTGAAGGGTCAAGGGATGTGGATTGTTATAGGACAGAGGTAGAAAGAGAGTGGCAGCAAGCGTGGGTGAGAAGCAGCAGCTTTTGTGTGCCGATCGCTCGAAAGATTAGGAAGAAATGAAAGCGGCTCAAGTGTTCAGGGCAGCTTAACGTTGCTACAAACGATACGGTTTACTTATTTGTACCTGAGAATCGATCAACGCCCGAACGCTTTTTACGAGCGTCCTCTTGGAAAATGCTGTTTTTTTTTTCCTCTCTTTCTCTTCCTATTGCGAATGTGCGACGCGCTCGATGAAAGAAACCCGTGGCAAGTGCCGACGCTTGTGTGCGTTTCAATCGATATCCCATTAGGAAAAAAGGTTGAAGTATCGCGTGAGCTTGTGGAAACGTGCTTCACAACCAGATTGCTTTTTTAAATTATTATTCAATTCAGTCAGGGCATTCTTGCCCGACGTTTATTCCTTTGTGAGTATTTCGCTCTATTAAGCGCTACCCTTACTTTAAATACAACGCGCGATGGAAGTTTAATTCAATTCCCAAAGACACGGAACTAAGCGTCATCATTTTGATACGGGTAACACGTCCAAAACTCGGGCCAACTTTGCGTTTAAAGATCTAAGCCAGTTTTGAAGCGTGATCCAGTTTTCAGTCAGGCTAGATCATCGTACATCCATCTTGACGATTTTATTTTCGATTTAGCTCGGCGAGAGATGACACAAAGTTGAAATCTTCGGTTAGGTGAGATTCCCTGGAAACGCGCCTCCCAGAGGTAATATCGCAATGAAATCTGGTTTAGCCTCTCAACCCTATTCCAACTAGGGACTAACGTGCCCCTTCCCCCCGTGGTTTATCCTTGAACCCATCGTAATTCCCTCTCTCCGAACCACTCGTACTACGATACATGCTGTGCGTAACGCAAATTCATGTCGCCGGGGTATCCTCTGTCAAATTAGAACGGATCATAATGCATACATTATGGAAGGCAACGTGGCTCCCAGTTGGATCATCTCATTCTCCGACGATGTGTCCAGATGAAATTGTATCGGCAAAATTGACTCGTTCTTCTTTACGTGAGCCCCGAACCTCGCCAACTATCTGACTAAACTTATCTGACTAGTTAAACTTATCTGCGATTAAACGCACGGAACAAAATCGTGTATTTATATTTGGAATATACTGACGAGATGTTAGAATTTCTTAAATTTTGTCTTAATTTTCGTTTAAATTCAAATGGTGAAATCTATACAGCAAGTTTTATGGGGTCATTCTGAAGAAAAAATTTCAATTTTCAAGATTATAATGGATCAAGTCATGAAAAAAATGTTAATATTTTTAGAAATATTGGAATTTTTACAATTTTAAAGAATAAAAGTATTTTTAATATCTTTGAAAAAAACGAACTCAAGAACATAGTAGAAGATAGTCATAGCTTCCTTTAAAATGAAACTAATTTTCTTTTTTTTATAACGTTACAACAGTTTAAAATATCGATAATTTTTTCAATTATGCTTCTTACTGTTGGATTTTAGAGTGGACGAAGAATTTTTACTCTTTGAATATTCCGATTTTTTTGTTGCGACAAAAGAAAGAGCGGAGTCTAGAGAGATAGATGCTTACAATTGCAAAGGAAAGCGACGAAAGATTATTTAAAATACATGAATATTAATGGCTCACGAACACCTTTCCGTTTCCGCAGCAACGTAAGAAAGCCGGTAAAGGAATTTGTAACTTTCATTATGCCACAAAGATAAAAGCAATAGTACACCGTTTAAAAACTGTAGCTGAACTAATGAGACAAAATTCTTTCGTGTTGGAGAATCAGGAATATGTTAAGAATATATTAAAATATTCAATTAAAAAAATATCATTGAACTATAGAAAAAGCTATATGATGATATTAAAAAACAAAAGAATATTAAAGAAAGCATAATTTCAAGTTACTTTCTCTAAACGCTTTAACTAGAACGTGCGGATATTTCCCAATATTTCAGACAATGGTCGGTCGGGTTTGAACAAAATATATAGAGTCGGGTAGCCTGATTGTATCGAATCAGATCCTGTAATCCTTTAATCTTCGATTATAGTCAAAGATTTAAGATATGAAACAATCATTAGGAGGACTAACTAATCGCGTCTACTCGATGATAGATACTGTCTACTTCATAAATGAACAGCGCGCAGAAGATTGATATACGAGCCAAACATTTACAGTTCGAAAGTTTAATCGAATTCAAGTTATCCTGAACGTAATACACGTAATAACGTGTCATCTCATATACTTCATTCATGCTATTTATGCATGTACTTTTAATTAAAACATAGATCACAATCCTTTTTTTATTAACTTTTCAAGCACAAGACTTCAAGAAACAGTGATGACAACTATCCTCGCAGCACGCACTTAAATTGCAACAGAACAACCTGCAGTAATGTGGCTGAGGAAACATCTGGTCACGCCAACAAGTTAAACTAAGACTGATGACGGAATTTTAGTCGCCACAACGGTGAACCGCACGAATCCCGTTCAGTCTTTCCACCTATCCACAAGGATACCACTTGGTGGCATATTTCCTCTTCAGAAGCGGATCGACAAGTTGAAACTCGTCAGAAGCCACGACGAATATTAATCCCATTTCCTTCGGTCGACATCCCGGTCAGCTTTCTGTTCCCCTGGTGTATTCCGTAGAAATTTTCATCCCCCTCCGTCGACGTTATTGCAGTCACGTTAGAAGGGTAGGTTACCGATAAAAAAAAGCGACATTTCACGCCTCGGGCACTGAATATAAAATCCACCACTTTTGCGAACTAAGGGAACGCGAATTTGACGACTACTAATAAATCTTACGGATTATTTGTCTCGCAGATAAGGAATCTGTACGGCGCGACGACGGGAATCGAGATGTTTCATTTCTTTTTGCTTAAAATCGAATGGGACGATACGCAAGAAGCGCAAACTAAATGCAACGATTTGTTTCATTTAAATTGTAATTTCCTCCTTAAACTTTATCCAGACATTATTTGTGCAATTCTGTTCTTGAAATCGAATTAACAAGTGATTCGCTATCGATTAACAAGGTACACTTTGTTGCAAGAAGGAGAAAGGAGAATAGAGGGTCTATTATTCGTTGATACAAAGGAAAGTTCGTAGGAACTGAGACAAAGGTTCATGGAGAATATTTTAAGATTCGGCGAAAGAACGAACAGGATGACAGGTAAAGATAGAAAGGGATGATCAGGGTTGAGAAGATGGTCGTGGCTATTCCGGAAAATGGTATTAATCAAATGAAGCGGTTTCTGTTACAAGCGAGGCGAAGATAGGTCTGAGCTGCCTGCCGGTACCCGGGGGATAATCAATCTGGAGAATTAGATCAGATAGCTGGTTGTACGTGAGCCAACTCCGTCTCCTTAGATTTATCCAGTCCCCAAGAAGCCTGATAAAGTATGCTGCACTGCCTCCAATATCGAATAAATTCTGCGCTTTTGCTTATCGGAGGGACACGATCGTTCACGATTTTCTGTAAATTTATCAACTTATACCTGACTTTCGCATAATCGTGCTATCAACACATCTGAACCGCTTTATACTACTTTTTTCAGCGTCGGATTAAAATGTCAGTTTACCACTTACTAAATCTCCCGTACAAGTGTATAAAAGATTCAAAAAGTATCAAGTATTAGTATTATAATTGTACATCTTTTTCCCTTGTTATTTTAGCAAACGAAACCTCTTAAACTACAACTTTCAATCGACAATTCCTACTATTAAAAAGAAGAGCTCCATCCAGAAAAATATCTCGCAATGTATTATAAGAATAAATAATAACAAAAAGAAAAAGAAACGTTTCTTCTTTCCCTTTAGCACAATCTCACTTTCATACGACTTCTTTTAAGGACGATATGTAAGGATAGCTTGGTGCTACATTCTCAAAGTTGAGCCATTTTTCTACTGTTACACGGTTCTCGTGGCCAGGTGCCTTTTTCCTATTTTCTTTCCACTAGTTTCCACGAATCTTCTACTGTAAGAATTTATGTATGTTAATCTCGTGGGTGTCATTATTGGCTTGCCAGAGAAAATGTTTACAGTTAGAAACTGTACGTAATTCTATGGTTCCGATATATTCTACCAGATGAAAGCTTCCCATGGCGAATAATTGATCGTTGAGACCGATTGCAAAAAGAATCTCAAATAGGATAGCTTTGAGCATAAAATTGATAGCATAAATGGAAGCAATTGTGAAGTAATTGAACGAAAGCAAAGTTACTTGTGGCTTGAAATAACGTGAAATTAGGGGGAACTAATAAAATGATCGCGACTGCTGGATAAACGTCCGCAATTTTATTACAATTCTTTTATTTGATTCTAAATACAATTGTATTCGTACATTCATTATACTTCCCTAATAAGAAATAAAATCTTCCATTAAAATTCCTATTAAAATTAAAGATTCCATTTTCTATCCACTAGTTATTCGTTTGAAAATCCTGCCTTAATTCTCCTGTATCAATTCTGTGATAATTCTTCAAAATATGTAATCCTCTTGAGAACGAGACCTTTATTGTCAATACAAGTTTTTAGCTTACATAAAAGAATAATTTAGTGAGAAATGAGAAAGAGATAATCGCAGCATTACTCGGCCAATTAAGAGATACTTATATCTGTTTTAATAGTCCATTAATGAGTAGTACCGTACAAAATGCTTCTATTATGCGGTACGTAATTAAATGAAATCATTACGTCTTAAACGATTCATGTGCTCGTTAACTGACTCTATTAAGAATATATTACGACCTGGTATACTTCCTAAGACAATCAAATGAGGATTAATTTCGTCGACTTAATTTTACGAGAAATAAAATTCTAAGATTGATACACTGCTAACCATTAAAATAAAACAATTTATATTACAAAGTCACATTCAGTATAAGGCGCAAAGATTCTCGTTACACGACAACAGGACGTTTGGTATTTTGATTGCTCATTAATCTAATACTAACATCGTACTGATTACGCTTAAGATACATAAATATAATTAATAGCTAACTGATTATATAATGGAATAACAATTAATTAATAATTATATTCCTTTATGCATATGTGTATATAAATATGATCTATTGGAATCGAGATAAAATAATATCCACCGAAGATAATACTATTTACCAAAAAATACACTTTCTTATGTTGATATAAAGATCGGTTAGTTTGATTTTTAGAAAATTCGCATGATATTTGAGATTTTTATGGAAGAATCTGAAATTTACACATTTATCACCTTTCACATTATATTTTATATTATGTTTTCTCATGTATCCTCGCATCGATCATGTTAGTATAGTCTTACGATTATTACAGATATTAAAGATATTAAAATCAAGGAACGTGTCCCTTGAATTTGCAGTCTTCTGTGAATAACCACCGATATTCACAATTTTGATATATCTAAATGCAACATTGAAGCACTTATTAAACACAAGGTTCTACATAATTTCCGGGAAACAAACCCGTTATACCATCCATGACTCCCTCCCACCACCCATCGTCATTTTTTTTCAGTACATAAATCACAGAGCTTTCCTGAAAGCTCAACTCATCCTCTTTGTCGGCATAATAGTCATATATTGCCACAACTAAAACGATAATTTGATTACATCTTAATGCTACTTAAATATTCTGTAATATAAAAAGTATCACGACATACCTTTCTCGATATAATTCTTTGGAACCCAACCAGGGAGATCTTCTTCATCTGGAACAATAGGCATAATAGCACCGCTAGATTGTGTAGGCCTACCAAATTGCGGATGTTCTTCTTGCTCTGGTGGTGGTGGCGGTGGTAATGGTGGGCTATTTGCACCACTACTTCGACTAACTTGATGACCTAATCTTTCTGATAAAGTGTGATAATTCGTAAAATCTAACGTATTGCCAGTTATGCCGACTAATGGCGAAGGTGGTGCTAGAAATGAAAATCGATATTAATTCCTTAGGTATATTACTTAAACTTAATTTCAATCTAAACACTTACGAGGCATACTATTATGTTCTTGGACATAGCCTGCTGTTACACTAGGTGGTGCTGGTGGTGGTGTTTGTGGATGACTTTGCAATGGATGAACTGTTCCTACTTGAGGTGGTGAAGTATGTTGGGTTACAGTGTTTGTATGTGCATTGTGATTGGTATTATGAGTTGCATGAGATGTGGTATGTGCATGTAAAGGTAATGTACTATAACCAGGGCCACGTTCTCTTCTTGGATGACCCAATGGATAATTAGGAGCATAATGACTAGGAACTTGAGGTGGAGCAACTGCAGGTGGTGTCCTGTATTCTCGTGATCCTTTGCTCAATGTTCCTAGTGTAAAAGCAAAGAAATTTATATTAAATAGTTCAAAATTACTTTAAAGTAAATATATATATATATATATATATTTTTTTTTTTTTTTTGTATTTACCAGTTCTTACTGTTTGAGGAGGAGTAGGTGGTTTAGTGGTAGGAGCCGGTCCTACCATAGCAGCACCTAATCCAGAAGCAGTAGAAGTTGCCCCTAAACTTTGTACACTGCCTTGACTTCCACCACGTTGTTTGCTCCTCGGAGTACCACTACTACGTACTCCATGTCCAATATCATCCAAGATTGTATAATCAATGCTTTTTCTTACATATTTAATTGGTTTCTCAGGATTTGCTGGTGCAATGATTTTGTACTGACGTACTGTGATTTTGTTAGCTGTTAGTACTCCAATCTCTCTTCTAGCTACTTTCTCTTTGTGTATCATAACTGTTTGAGCAATATGATTCATTTGACTTTCCATCTCAGCAAGCTGAGATGTTTGTAAATCCAATAGTTGCAAAAAATTATAAGCAAGGGTATTTATTTGATAGGCTACACTAGCCAGTGATTGAGTGGTAAAATTTTTGGTTTCTTCTAAAGCTATTCTCTTGTTTTCTGCTTGAAAATAATTAGCTTCGCAATAATCAGCAACCCTCTCAAGATTTATATGATTATCAGCCAAATTGTTCCTTCCCTCAGGAATTTCCTGACCAAGAAATGCTGCTAACTCTGCCATGACTTCAGAATCACTGCCTACTCCTGATGATACACAATAAGAGCCTGATCCTTAAGAGAACCAGAATAACATTTAAAAAGATTTGTAAATTTTACTTTATGCTTATGTAGATGACATTCTGGAGTACATCGTAAAATGATTATACTTAAAATGATACTATATGCAATGATTGAATTAATAAAATAAAACACAAAATAACGAATTTACATAATTTTGAGGTTATGTAACTTTCGCAAGAAACTCGTAAAAAATTTTCCAAATAACGAAAATAATATTAATATAATAATAAAATGCTTTTCTATTGCTCGAACGAAAAAATAAGAAATTACTAACTAATGTTCGAAGGGCGGTGTCCCATATATAGAAAGCAAAATGGAGGAGAAACAAAGGCTAATCATAGAAAATGAAACATCGATACGATAAATGATTTGAAAATAATAGAAAATGAACTAACGGTACTCAGCCATGTCGTAACTACCAGCTACTACACCTTCTTTAATTCATAATTACCAAGGATCTTAGAAACTGATAAAAAATAAACAATTGTCGTTAAGCGACACGACGTTCAGTATGGACGTATAATGCACCGAACGCTATTGGACAGCGTTCATTGTAATTTCCAAACAGTTAAACACAAGTATTCTGGATTTTGGTTAAAGTGACACGAATACGATTGCCGTATACTCATTAAGTAACTGACTAGCAATGACATATTAAACGATACGATTAAAGAAAGGAAGATTGTACAAAAGAGAAAGGTGATAGATAGTTCGAGACCTCGTATGGTTTATATCGATTACTTTTTCGAGACATCGAACATTACAAAATATAGTAGTTACATCGTAAATCTACAAGGATTAGACCAGTAGAAGAAACATCCAGCTAAAATAATAACAAAATATTGGATATTGTCGAATATATGCAAAAATTTTTGTCAAATTATCATATGTACAGCATACGCTTTGGCAACAAGTAGTATTCTTTGTGTTGAGTACTCAAACCGATCGAAGAGGTTAAAGTTCGTAAATGTCAACAATTATTTGTTGATTAAGACGACCAAAACGGAAGTTGTTAACTGAAACACCATAATTTGGAAAATGATATGTTTTGTGTATATCTGTGACATTAATAAGTCGTTACGAAAAAGTTGATTCGCAAGGAAGTAATTATTACCTTTTGACGGACTCTTGGACAATTAATTCTTAAAATGAATAATCTCTTAATAGGATTGGAATCTCTAAAAATTACAAGCGATATTTCTGAGGAAGACTTATGGACTGGATGCATTGATCTTATTCAAAAGAGTTATGTTACTGAGATAACCGTCGGTGTTAGTCGTCCATGCGAGGAAAAAGATTTTAGAGAGTATAGACAAATTATAGACAAAAATTTGCAAAATATCAAGTTTATGCTTCAGCATATCATTCACTGTCGTAATGAAAAAACCATACAAATAAAGCCAGACACATTAATAGTAAAGACATTTACTATTAATCTATTATTACTCATTGGAGAACATCATGAAAAAAATGTTTGGAACAATGCAGAATCTGTGTTTATCTCTAAAGAGCTGCAAAGCGAAATCTTGGGGTTACATAGATGTGAAAGTATTTCACAACTTTTAATGGAACAAGATAACTTTATCACAGTATTATTAGCATTAAGGCCTAAATTATTGAAAGATTCTTGGAAAACTTATCCAGCAGCTGTCGTATGTTACAAATGGATTTTATATCAAATCGAGGTAGACAAATTGAATTGAACAGAACAAAAATCATAAATCTAATTACGTGTTAAAATGTTGTTTTTTTTTTATAGAAACCAGTTTTATATAATCATATTGGTGATGTGCTTCCAACAGCTTTAATAATTGTTGATGATTATGTGCCAGAAAACGTTGTACTAGGGCTTGAATGTTTATATCAAATTATTCAGCATTCTCACTTGGTAAAAATCTATATTACATAAATTTGAGTTATTATGTTGTTTATCAATGTAGATTACTAATTTTAACTGTGATTATTTAGAAAAAAGGATTGATTGATACTGGATATGCCAAAGTGGTTTTTCATACTTTAGAGAATTTAAGTCATCAAAGAGAAGCCAAATATGTAATTTTGATATATAAATGTTTAGCAAATTTATTAGCTACCATTGAACATTGGGATAATACATTAAATGTATTTGAGGTAAATTTAAAAAATTAGTACTTACTAATGTATTAATTTAAATATAAACTTTTAATGTTGTTACAGTGGACAAGGAGGGATGATATTTTAGCTGTTCTGTTGGATAATATGGAATTTGAACAAAATGTGGAATTGAGACGTGTGTATATGTTGAGCTTGCCTCAATTCTTAACTAATATTGGTTGTGCCAAGTGGTGCGAAAGATTAACAAGAATACTTTCTGAATATTGTGAACATCATACAGATTTAAGAACATTGAAAGCAACATTAGAGGTATAATATCTTTATAATATCTTTATATATATATATAATTTAATATTATTTTATTATTTTTATTATATATTAAACAAAATTTTTCAGACTGCAAAAACCTTCCTATTAATGTTTCATCTTCGAGTGGCAGCTCACTGTGTACCTCTGTATACTGCTTTCTTGAAACTGCATTTTGATTTAGCTAAAACTCCAGTATTTGATAAGGAAATAATGCAAAACTTAGAAGATTGTATTTGTTTATTATATAAATTATCTCCAAATGTTGGTTATGCAGTAATGAATGATGATCGAATGCGTTCGGTGATAACAAATAGTTTACAAGTAGCATGTTTAGGAGATACTAAGTATTTTCAGTGAATGAACGCTGTAAATTAATTAAATCATGGGCTATAATATTTAAAAAAAGAAAATATTTTTTGTAGTTTCATAGAATATAGTATGATAAAATATAATAGATAATTCTTAGATATTTTACGTTGTGATTTAATAAATTCAAAAGATGTATGATACTTTGTATTATAAAATAGAGATTTTTGTTAGAAGTTATCGTAATTGAAAATATCCTTATAATCTTATATTAAAATAAATTAAATTAAATAAATAAATAAGAAATTACAGAATTAGCGACTAACAATAAGTAAACTTTGTAATCTTTGTAATACTGTTGAAGCTCATACATTCTCATTGATATTTATTTAGATATATATATACCACTAGGCTGCAAGTTTTTATGCATATATATAAAAATTTAAAAATACATGGTGTAAAATATTCAATTTCCTACTGAGATACTATTTTTTAAATTATATTTTCAAAAATATGAATTTGTATAAATATCTGCAATCTAATAATGATTGCTATATATTATTTGCAGAAATATAATTTTTTTTCAAATTGTTTACATGAAGCTCTTTGTACTTTTTACAATTTTCCGAAAAATAAAGATTACGTACAAAAATTATAAAGATAATAAATAATCAATTGCTTGAGAAATAATAATCATTCGCATAAAATGCAATTTTGTACTTTGCACTAAAGATATGAACATAAACATAAACATAATAAAAAAAAAAACTGATAATGACTGACTTAAATAGAGATTGAAATAATTGAAAGTAATCATTCCGTGTTCCGAACTTATAAGAAAATGTTTTTATTTCTTATTATAATATTAGTTCTATTAATAGGATATCAAATTTATGAATTTGTCACCCGTACAACTCTACATAAACCACCTTGTAAGTTTCACTGAATTAAAATAATTCTGCATGCCATATGTTTTAAACAAATTTTTTTTCTGTATTATATCCTATAAATCATTCTAATTATATTCACTTATTTTTTTGTAATTTAAATATTTTATATTATTGTAATTTAAATATTTTATATTATAATAGGTATTCCGCGGTTACCAATAGTAGGATCTTATTGGTATTTATTATGGTATAATTATGAATTTCCTTTTAAAGCTATGACATATTATACAAATAAGTTGAAATCTAAAGTCCTGACATGTTATTTTGGTGGTTTTATGACTGTTATTGTGAATGATTATAACAGTATTAAAGAAGTTCTGATAAATAATGATTTCAATGGAAGATTATCCACCGTAGATGTTGTCTTAGCAAGAGCATTTGGACAATCATTAGGTATTTCCTCATGAAGAAAATTTAATACATTTATGAAAAAAATGCGGTAGTCGTGTTTTATACTGTATGAAATTTCAGGAATCTTTTTCACCGAAGGTTCATATTGGCAAGAGCAAAGAAGATTTATTCTTCGACATATGAGAGATTTTGGATTTGGTAGAAGACATGAGAAAATTGAAGCAGACACGATGGAAGAAATTGCAATTCTTATCGATATGTTAAAAAAAGGTCCCATTAACGATACGGAAAAGGTATATCAAAAGAAGTCTCAGTGAAAGTTTTGAAATTAAGTGTTACTAAGTGACATTTCTATGTAATTATTAGTCATTTCTAAAAAATGGTTCTGCACGGTTTCCGGATGTTTTATATCCACATGTTGCAAATGCTATATGGAATATAATGTTTGGCGAAAGATTCGATCGTTCAGAATATTATAAACTGAAATATCTTTGTGAATCTGCTATGATGTTTCAAAGAGCAGCTGACACTACGGGTGGAGCAATTTTTCAATTCTGGTTCTTGAAATATTTCGGAAATATGTTTGGATACAAAAATATGATGATAGGAAATTATCGTATGGTAGATTTCATTAAGGTATATTTAAATTTTCCATTTTTTTATTTTAAAATTATATCTTCAAAGTATTTCATAATTGTAAAATATTATGATTATTATAGGCACATTTAGAGAAAAGGAAACATTCAAATTATGATGACGATAATGGCTTAGTAGATCGATATTTAAAAGTTTTGAAAGGAGATATGAAGAAAAAATCTTTCTCCGAGAAACAACTTATTATGAGCCTTGTGGATTTCATGTTCCCAGCTATATCTGCACTACCAAGTGCTGTTGTACACGCAATTAAGCTTGTAATGCATCATCCAAAAGTAATGAAAAATGTACAAAAGGAAATAGATAGAGTGATTGGAACCGAAAGATTAGTTACATGGGAAGATAGAAAAAGGTATAATGCATATGAAAATATTCCATTAATATTAACAATATAATGAAAAGTATTTTATTAGAAAACCAAAAATGTTATGTTTTGTATTTTAGTTTGCCATATATCGAAGCAACAATACGTGAATCACTCAGATATGTAACTTTGACACCATTCGGTGTATTTCATAAAACAACAAAGGAAACTACTCTTTCTGGTTTTCATCTTGCCAAGGATACAATAGTTGTCACCAATTTATCAGGATTAAATACAGATGTCGATTTATGGGGTGATCCTGATAATTTTAGGCCTGAAAGATTTCTCAATGAAAATGGCCAATTGTGTAAAGACTTCACATTTCCTTTTGGATTTGGTATGTAAAGAATTTTTAATTCAGATCTCAGCAATACTATTAATAATGTGGTTTCTTTCTTTTGCATTAGGACATCGTGTGTGCGCAGGTGAAACTTACGCAAGATACAATATGTTCCAAATATTCGCTACATTGATGCAAAATTTTAACTTCTCCTTTATAGAGGGTGAACCGAATAGTCTTGAAGACATAATGTCAGGTTTAATCATTACTCCAAAAGAAACGTGGATTCGAGTGGAACCACGTTATACCTAATCGACATAAATAATCTTATATCAATGTTTATTTTTATATAATTAAATAGATATTTTTTAACTAAAAATATCACACTAATATTTTTTGTATATCTAATCGTTTTATTGAAACAATTTTTATTCTAATTTAATAACAATAATAACTACGAAACTAAGTATCCAGATTACAAATAAAATATCATATACAATTTGTATACTATAAATTTATTTCATAATTTGGAATAATCAAAAACAAAAATTACATTGCATTGAATAAACGTAATTAATATACAAAGATTTCCATTAAGAGTTAACTACAAACAAGTATCATTGGTTATACTATGTTTTCAATTTTTTTTTAGAATATTCAGTGCCTATAAAATAAAAACTTTATATACAGATATTTGCGAGTCTGGAGAAGATAGGGAAGATATGTTTAATCTTATGTGCCGTAAAAATTAAGAGCTTACTTAAATATATACATTTTAATGTTTATCTTCCCAAATTTTCCATTCTTTTCTTTCTCTTTTATACAGAATATTTATTGATTTTATGACCTCTTAATACGGAAAATAAACGTAACACAATAGTACTATAATAATTTTTACATTACAATTAAAAAATACAATTAGACATATAAAATATTGAAACTCGATATTTATACGTATAATGTCTTACACTGCTAATGAAAATTTTTGCAATTAATTTATTGAACGAATTAATGGATTTTATTCAAAATAATACTAGTATTACATGAAAATAAAAATGTTTGTACATTCAATTTTGCCAATAATGGCAGAACATTGTTTTTTAATACAGTACAAAAGTACTGCTGTTTTACACATATATCTTAATATTTTCTTATTACTATTGTAAATATACATACTGTTCTGCAAAACTATTACATTATCAACCTCTTGTGTACGAAAGGTTCTTCAAGTGGTATGAAATCAACAAGACATAAAATCACATTGTACATAGCTCCACATGTGTATTTGAATTATCAATTAGAATTTAATTTTACAATGCACTTTTTTGTAGATCTTCAAACAGTCTATTTCATGTGATTTCCCATATGAAATACCTTTATTCTCTATGTACCAGAACATATAATCCCAAACACATTAATACCGCATATTTAAATTTGGGATATTCATTCATGAATATTGTAACCATCCCTACATATGGTAAAAAACCCCTTGCTCTACCAACAACGTCTTTATGTGTCAACCATAATTGACCAGATGCATATAAACCTCTATCATCAACAGAATTATTATCACCCTTTGTTAGAAATTTAACAGTATTATTTTGGTCGCCCCTAAAATATATTAAAAATTTTTTCAATGATTCAATTTAAACTTATCTTTCACTTTGTTATTGCAAAAATTTTAAAAATACTTACTTTTCATGTAGTTTAAGTACTCTGTGTACAATTGGAATATCTCTACCCTCAACTTTAAAGACAACAATTTCTCCTACTCTGACTGGCTCATCTGGATAATTAGTTAAAAATAACAAATCTCCCCTATGAAAAGCTGGTTCCATACTACCGCTATAACATTAAAATTTTAATGCGAATTATAAAATATTAAATTAAACGTATAAGTTATATACAAAATAGAAAATTTAATTTATTCTTTATTTTACACATTTCATAACTTAAAATAATTCAAAATAAATAAATAATTTTTAATACGTAATATGCAATTCGTTGAAGAAAACATAGTTAATAAATAAACATAAAAAAACGATTTAAAAAATGAATTTATTCGTGCGAAAGATGCATCAAATGTAACACTATTAGGTTAAGTATTCAAATACCTGAGAACAACCACAATCGGACTTTCGCTACCTGTTACAACCATCAAGCCTTTCCAGATCATCAAAGCAGACGAAACAATCATACCAAAACTTAACATCTGATACAGGAACTGCAAAAAAACAGTGATAAAAACTATTTATCGACCATATGCGCTCGCTCGTAAGAATCTCTAATAACCCGAGCGAAGAAATTTATTTACCTGCCGTTTATTCATTCGACGCACATCGTCAAATATAGATTGCAACATTGTTACGACTGTTTCCTATAAAAATTACGATAACCAAGTAAACAAAACAATTTCAATACTCTACCGCTTGAACACAACCGGCAACAACCAGTCAACGTATCACCACGTCACGTAAACAATGAATAAGGAACGCTGGAACAAGTGGAACGATCCAAATGGAATAGTCCATATCCGTTAGTGAACGAAGGAACGCGCGCGGCAATACCTTCGAATAGCGTACCTCGGTTATTTTCTGCGATAAACGGTGTATTTTCAACTATTCCAGCTTAAATATTGTTTTAAACAAATCAGTTTGCACTAAAGTCGCTATACAATTGTAGTCTTACAAAGTTATTTAGTATACGCCTCAAATTTTCCAAAAATTTTCCAACTACACACTTTCCGGTGTCCATGACATTCCATCAAAGCGTCACATCAGTTTTAATTTGAATTGTAGTATGTCGCGAATTGTAGTATGTTTCTCAAGATTCTCGTCAAAACAGAAATATCTTTCGTGAAGTAAGAAGGCAAAACAACACAAAGGTATGTACATTTTTTTTTTTTTGCGATATATCATTTATTTATATATCATTTATTTATCATTCATGATGCCTAAAATTGTAATTTAGCGAAAATTGAAAAATATTATTGAAATCATTTATTGAATTTTACTTATTATTGAAAGTTATCGCGTAAAGAGGAATTTATCCGCAAAGTTTATCTGTCTTTGTCAGATCGTCGGATTTGAATCGAGCAACGAATATTTCTGGCGCCATATTGACTTCTGCGTCGATCTTTTGAAACTTGTAACGGTTACGCGTATCATTTTCGTTGAATGTATCGAGCTTCTGCACATTCGCAACAAAATCGGTTCTTTTGATGGAATCGCCATGGTTTTCTTCATCGAGATACCATTGCGATACCATCTCTTTCAGTGGTTGCAAATGATCTACGTTTTTTTGAACTTTCTCCAATTCCTCATTACAAAGTCGCTCCACTTCCATCAGTTTCTGTTTGTACGCATTCGCCATCATTTTCCATCGTGTATTATAACGTTTCTCTGCCTGGCTTAACGAATATTCGTCTTGATACTTAGCCAAACGTTTCTCATATTCGAGGATTGTCAATTCTGTGAACACATCCTCCGAAGTGATGTCTAAAATATCACCTATATATCATGAAAGAATAAATTTATTGTCAAAATATTTTATATTTCGTTTGCTCTTTCGAAAAATTACCCAAATTGTTGGATAATGGCGATTCGGCAGCATAAGCTGCCGCAGCTGCGCGTGCAGCGGCGGTTGCTTCCTCTAATGCCAATGCATCATCTTTCTCGCGTAAAAGTTGCAATTCTTCTCTTTCTTTTCTCCAAAGTTCTATTTCTTTCCTCAGTTCTTCCTTTAAATTCCTCATTACTTCATTGAGTGACTCTATGCGTTCCCGAAGAATGTAGCTATTAGTTATGAAAATTCAATATAATACATGATTTTTTTTCTTTAAAAAGATATATATATTAGCATAACACGTACTTTAAATCTTTATCATCTTGTTCATCTTCGACCAACTGTACACCGTCTAAAATCATTGAATCTTCCGGTTGTTCGAGAACAGCTGAGAGCTTTTCTAACGAATCGTCATTTTCATTCTCAGAAATATGATCATAATTCGGCAACATGCTTCCTAAATCCAACGTTAAGTCAACATCTGTTTGATCTTTTTTCCTGTGTTCCTCGTCTGATAATTCTTTGCATTGATTATCAACATTCTGAACGCTATCTGTGTTGCTTGAACTGTCTGTAGAAATTTCTGTCAAAGATCTATGTTCGTTTTCCATTTGTAATATTTTCTTGAAATTGCCGATTTGACAAACTTTTTAAACGAAGGTAGAGTATTTAAAAATGTAGTTGACTGAAGTTATTTTATTTTATGATATGATATTGTTTTTTCATTACATCCAGTTACTATAAAAAATATAATCACATGTTTATAAATATCGCGTATTTCTGAGGGTAAATATTCAAGGTGAAGTAGTAATTTTACATCAATTATCTCATAAGAACGATACAAATATTTAAAGTTCTATACTTTCTTTTTATGTATTACCACAATGTTTCGTTTTAAAAGAAAATCTACCATTTCTATACAACATAGGTACGTGTGCTATATTGAATTTTTTGGTACAGGATAATTGTAGTGAGTGGCCTCTTCTACCACTAATACTGTGTTAGTTTAGTAGGTTATTATTGATTTCAAGTTGAATATTTAAAAAATATTAATAATTTTCCCGTAATAATATAAAAGCTGCAGATTTGTTAATTACAAACAAATTGAATAGATGAAATTTTTTATTTACCACAATTAAACTTTCTGTCATACATGCAAGTTAGTTACGTTATTGCACAGGTTATGTGCATTGATTTTAATTGTAATAGTGAAAACAGGAAAACGTATTAAGAAATACGTTCCAAAGTGTTAATTTTCGAATCTCGTTATTTTAAATTAATGACAGAAACTATACATGTCGAGACACGATGACAGAAAGAGGTTAATTACAACTTGAATATAAAACGGTTATATCAAAGTTCTTAATTATCAGAAAACATGTTTGTATACTTCTGGTCACTAGTGTGCTGGTATTTCAGACCCATTGTAAAATGGTTATTAAGGCACACAACGCGAATGTGTGAACTCCAAAGAATTTGTTATGGAGAACTGTGTGGAGCACCAAGAACACTAGCTGTAGAAGAATCTCTTAAATTATCTAGGAATGCTAATATTAAAACTCTTATAGTCTATTTGAATGATTTTGCTGATCAACATGCAATCACAAAACAGACAAAACAAAAAATCTTGAAGGAAGCTATTGTCACCATATTGGTGACCAAGAAAATAAATCCGACAGCTCATCCTGACTTTGCCAAGTCATTTGGTAAATGTGTAGAATTAATTTGGGGCTATAGACAACTTTGCGTGGAATGTGAAGAGCTTAGAAAGACACCTTATGACGCTGATAATCCAGAGCACGAGTTATTATTGTTAAAATTGTGGAATTTGTTGATGCCTTATGAGCCTTTGGATGCTAGAGTTACCAAACAATGGCAACACATTGGCTTTCAAGGAGATGATCCTAAAACAGACTTTCGTGGAATGGGAATTTTGGGATTAGAAAATTTAGTTTATTTTGCTCAAGAATATCCCAGTGCTGCGACACATGTGTTGTCACATTCTACACATCCACGTTATGGTTATGCATTTGCCATAGTTGGCATAAATTTAACAAGTATGGCTCTAAGATTGTTAAGGGATGGAAGTGCCAAGACTCATATCTACAACTCTTCAAAGAGTTTTCCAACAATTCGTGCATTCCATCAACTTTATTGTTATCTTTTCTATGAATTTGATGGATTTTGGATTGATTCAAAACCAAGCAATATGATGGAATTTTCGTCCATACAAGAAAAATTTGAAAATAGTATCAGAATGGCACTAGCTGATTCATCTACTGTCTTTAGGATAAATATATCAGTTGATAATGTTTAAGATAGATGCAATATTTTCTGTTGATAAAACTAAAATTATCATAAACAGTGAACACTATTACTACAATGCACAAAGCTACTTGCTCCAATATATGTAGCACAAAAGTGTCTTGTGAATGAATAGTACAGCATTAATTATATATTGGAAACTACAAAGAGTATAAGATACAAAACAAAACATGATTATTCATGAAGTCATTAAGTTACAGAAAGATACAAAGATCTTAATGCATTTGATATTATATTTTTACTTTATTTTTCTACTGGTAATAAAGGTAATGAAGGTATGTGTTACCTAATGAATGTGAAGGGACTCACATTCAAACAAAAACATTTATTTATCACAAATAAGTTAAAGTACAACGTTTACCCAAATAAATATATTACTTTCAATCCGTTTTTATTTAATTTTTTAAATAGGTATATGTAAATATAAAATACTTTGTTATATTAATTCAGATGATTTTTTTCGGGAAAAGCATATCACATCTAGGAAATATTTTACCATGCGTGTTTTTCGAGAAATTTTAATTTAAAAATATTTATTGTAAAATGTAGAAAACACTTGTGTTAAAAAAAGATTTAGACGCAGTGACTATTACATATTTTATACGAAATAAAAACCGCAATTGTTAGAAATAAAATATATACGTATTTATATCTCTTTAAAACATCTATATTATGGGTACTGATCAAATATACAAAATTACGAAAATGGAAACTTATGTGACTTATTAAAAATATAAGAACAAGAGTTTGACTTTAATAGAAAAAACTCTATTCATCTCGTATATGTTCTGTGCTTTATATAAAATAACAAATGATAATTGATATAGTACCCATAATATGTGTCTCTGGTTAGACAAAATGATTAGTCCTTCTTTTGTGCCATCTCGGTTTTACGTCTGAATTTAGAGGCTACAGAAATTATAATAAATACACCTATCGTTATGCTGCCAAGTTTCATTATCCACGGATTTTCACGAAGGAAATTTGCAATCATTTGTACGAGATCGTCACTGAAACAGGAACGTATGTCATAATTGTACTACACTAATGTCCATATGTGTATAAAAGGCTGACAAATGTGTTCAAACTTACAATGGGCTTTGTGGTACAGGAACAGGCTCAGCACGTGCATTTCTGTACCATTCTTTTGCAAATGATATAAAAGAGTTAATGTCGTATTTTGAAATCTGATAACGATACATTTTACCATGTCTAAAGCTACAAGTACAAAATAAATTACGTTAAATGTTAAAATATCATACTGTGTCATTAATTCTATTCATTATCATAGCATTTTACATTGTTCTTATTATTTACTATTTACATACTTACAATATAAATTCAGGAGCTTCATAAACATTGAATCTTCTTGCTGTAGATGCTCCAGTTGTATACTTATCGATACGTGCTACATTAACCCTTTGCTTTAGTTTTGCACCTACAGCCTCCCACCTTGCAATCATTCTAACGCATTCCACACAGTCTGTACTATAACTGTTATTTAAAAAAAATTATACATTAAACATCTATGAAATAAAACATATGTAGATACATATAAGACATTAAGGGGAATGAAGACTTACAACATAACAAACCAATCCCCGGTTGTAGCTCCACTACTTGCCTGTGTTAGATGTTCAAATGTATCATCTGTTAGTTCCTTCACTGTAGGTTCTTTATTTTCAATGAACATAGTTAAAATTTCTTCAGCATTCAAAGGTCCTAGATGAATAGATATAAATTGATAAGTTAATAAAAGTATTTTTTATCGAAATATATTCCTTTTAATGTTAACATTTATACCATCGTAAAGTAAAGGCATTCCATGTCTAAAGAACACAAGTGCTGGTTCTTTATCAGTACTGTAAAGACGAAGTAATTGACTATCAACAGTTTTCACAACCCAAGCGGATAAGGAATTTACCAAATCTTCTCTCAAGTGGATCATCTCATTCTCATAGTTTTCACATGTTGTACAATCTTTGTTTGCTATAAATATTATACACGTATTATATAAATAGTATATAGATATAAATATTTATACATACAAATTGATAGCTAAATAAATTAGAATTTACAATATGAAAAGGGCAAGAAAATAAAGTTGAAATAGAATTTTCATGCAGTAGGTTATGTCAGAATTTGTGAAAAATATTATTTTTCCAATATTTTGTAAATTCACTTAATATTAATTATTGAAAAGATGTTTTCAATCAGATGAAGAGAAAGATATATATATATATATATATGTAAACACGAATCAAAACTCACTGAAAAGCACCACTACATATTTCTCAGTTTTTATGAGATTTATGAGTTCTTCATCACTCACTGTTTCCAGATTGGCAGAATGAATACCAACAAAACTACATATCAATATAAAAAGTATTATTCGTAACATTTTGTATTGAATTAGATCAACAATATTGATTAGAATATCTTCGCCGACAACCTGTATACGTCAAAGAGGTTAACATTCCTGTTCCATTTCATTTTATTTCATTTTACTCTGGTGGAACTGTTCGAAATTACAAAAGCTACAATTTTTTTTTAAATCCCTGTTAATGATTTAAGCTTAACCAAATTATTATGTTATTCATAATTTTTCCCAAGATCTTTATAATAAATCGGTTTTCATACTCCTAAAGTTTAACACATACATATATATTTCATCTGAAAAATAGAGATACAATTAATGAAATAATGGCATTTGAATTTATTTTATAAAATGTAAAAGTGGATAATTTAATAAGTACAAATTTAGTCGCGTATTTTTTGAACTTTTTTTGAATGATTTTAAAAACATCGGTACGCTTTATTTATTTTACAGATTTCTTTTAATTTGAAGCTTGAGTTGCTTACATCTTGCATATCTCTGAAAGTTTTAATGTACGTTTGTAAATATTTTGCTGGTTTAATAGTAAAGTAAAAACAAATATTGCAGAATAGCATGCTTTGCGTGTATCTTTAAAAAGCGATATGTAGTATGTTTGACAAACAGAACAACTAACTTCGCACAATTATTTTTACTACAATTTTAGTTCTTTCGATATTTTATCGATTTTGTATATATTTAAGAAATATTCCATTAGTGCTTGTGATATAATTCTTTCGCAATATTTGTAATATTCTTCCTTTACGTAATAAAAAACACGAAAAGTTATGTATCAAATCAGAGTTATCTATCAATAAATATTTTCTAACTATGTGTTACGGGGCATACAATAATTATGGTAAAAAGTTGATAATAGCTTCTTGCTTTTAATTATTTAACTTGTTATCGACTAATTGATAAACTAAATGAATGGATGACTAAAGATGGAAGTCAAAAATAATTTTAGCATATGAATTCATTAGTTATGAATTAATTATGAATTAGTTATGAATTAGTTTAATTACGTATAATTAGAAAGTTCGATAACTGATAATTAATATTTTAGTAACCCATATTGAGTATACTAAATATTTTAAATTCAGCAAGTTAGTTGAATTATTATTCGAACTATTCTCTCGAATCGAACATATTTCAAATCTTCAAACGTTTATAAGTGATTTTTATAATCGACGTTAGGGGTACTTCCGTGAATCTTCACGGCCCTGCTCATGAACCAGCAGTCGAAGGTCGAGTGGTATAGTGGTAGATGGTAACGACGTAAAACGTGACGCATATAGTAACGGTTGTACGTCGAGGGGGATGTGCTGGTATGTGCAGAATCGACGTCGGCAACTAGCACAGGGTGGCTGACTTTGTCGAAGGGTGGATTCACGGGGTGGTTGGTAGTCGCGTGCTCTCATCGTCAGGTGAGCAGCTTTTGTATGGATGTAATCGGTTTATCAAATATTTTTGCGAGTTGCTGTTACCCGCATTGGGATCGAGTCTTGTTTCCGCAACACGCAAAACTTCTCCATCGTCGTGAGTATTAAACTTAATATTACCTTTCGCGAGATAGGGCTGTACGAGTTCGCAAAGCGAAAGAATGTTAGACCTTCAGTCGGATTCTAATTGAGGACAATGTGCATTTTATCAAATCAGTGAGCGTCTCTGAAATGTTTAAAAAATTATCTATAAATAACAATTGGAGCTAATTGCTCAAGAACTATTTAAGTCGTACGATTATGTACATATTTTCTCTTCATCGTTACAGTAGTTTAGTGTTCAAAATTTTTTCGTAGATTTCGACGAGGGGATTTTTCTCTCCTCCGTTGTGGAAGAACTTGCCGTCACGTAATCGCATGCAAAATGTTTTATTCAAAGCTATTTAATTTTTTAACAGATATCTCGAACCGAGTGTATGTTCTCGCCGTATTTAATTCCGGGTAAAGAGAAACGATTTTGCGGTGTATTTGAAAGTAAAATGATTGGCGCTGTAGAACACAACATTACATATACATTGTTACTGATCTTAGTTTTCGAAACTAATTCTCATTCGGAAGTCTCATTCCTTTTGAATTTATCTCGTCCACGTTGATTTGAAAAAGCCATTGCGTTCATTTAAATATGAAAATTATTGTAATTCCCTTGCTTAAAGATTCGTTAGATTAGAAAAATTCAAATGTCGTGCGATGATAGTTTTTCATTATTAAAATGAAATTTTCGGAGCACCTTGTAATAAGATCGTTGTGTCCAGATAAAACGATATTGATGGTTTTATGCAAACATGTGCCGAAGCTTTTTCGTTTTATCCCTAGCTGTATGCATTCCGTGCTCGAGCATGTTATGAAAATATTTTTATGGATGAATCGAAAGTTATATTCTTTCATATTATTCGCATTGAATGTTCCGAATAGAACTAACTTCCGGAAATAAATTAAAAATTTTATGAATACACGTATATTGAAATTAATAATAGGAGAGAATGAATTACTTTAGTAAAAAATTCTCTTGCTGTGTTTTTTGTTAAATTAGAGTTATTATTATCTAACCATTTTTATACAACGAGTTCTAAAGTATATTAAAAAAACAAAATAAACTAATTTTTTATTTGTACGAGATATATTTCATCGCACTAAAATTCTGTTACTAAAATGTTTCATCGTGTACAAGCATCCTTGATGCTTCAATTTGAGCTACGTTGTAAAACCTACAAAAATCCGGAAAAGTTAATTGATTGTAACATTTAACTGGAAGAAAAAGTATCACGCAAATTAGATAACTCCGAGCGTTAATATTCCTACGCGAATGAAATTATCGTATATAGATATAGAGCTATGCAGATTGATGTCGCGTCCTCTCTCAAAGAAAAATACCTTGTTAAATCGATAACAGATGATAACGAATATCTTGTCATGTGACATGACGTTATCAAGTTTGATATTAATGGCTTTTTATTGTCAGTATCGGTAATTTCCATAATTCGTCCAGTAATTCAGCGATAGATAGCACCAATTTCAAATTTTATCACTATTTACTTATCGATTGCTTAATTTCATCGTGTAATAATTATTTGATAGTCACGAAGAAGAAGTTTAGAAGAACATTAGCAAAATTGAAAGAGTTTCGAAGATAGAGCAAGTTTTCGTTAGTTTTCTAACTCTACTCCGATACAGTTTCGACCGAAACCCTCCATTTGATTTTCAGAGTGTCCACTGACGTACATATGTAGCACGTGTTCCCTTACACGCGATGCTCGTGATTTGTTCGTCCTTTTATTAAGAGGAAGACACCGGGACTGAGATGGCGCAGGATATCCCGGAGACGACGTACGTCCCGGAAGTGGAGCAGGATGCGAGAAAGGAACGAGAACGGCGAGCTGTTGAAGAGGGAACTGTCTCGTGGAGACGACGAAAGGAGGAGTTGCAATGTCAAAAGCACCGCGAACAGCGAGAAGTACGCGTCGTAAATGACTGTTACGTTAAACTCGAGCATCGTTTACGTCACTACCGTTTGTTGACCAACCAGCTTTCTTGGCTCCCCCAATTTCATTCGGTATGGTTGTCGCTGATCGGATGAAGATCAATGCTGGCGCCTTGATATCGGCAACAGCCGTTATTTTTTCCCCTTTGTAGCGTTTCTTCGATAGCTCGGCAATAACCGCGAAGATTTACAAGAGGCCATGCGAAAGATTCCTCACGTTACAATGGGATTTCAAGTGGTCACACGGTCGTTTAACCGTGCGCGAAGCTCTGTAAAATAGAAATGGGAAACAATAGAGAATGGTAGATGGCACTTAGACTTCTTATCATGGTTTATGGCACGAAAGTAGTTCTTCGAAGACTAAAGTGGCGTGTTTCTACTTCTCCCTCGACTGTAAATTTTGTCAACGTTTGATGCTCAACTTAATGATATATAGCGGAACGTTTCATTGAAAGTCACTGAAATTTTCAGTTCACACTTGGTCGGGATTCAAACTTCGTTTCAATTGAAACGTTATTTTTACCAACGAGATTCATGTAACTGGCGAATGTTAAAGTGATTCGTTGAGCGCAATTTGTATGAACCGTGTCATTAGCAGCTGCATGCTGTAATTACTGCATATATTTGCCTTGGTAGTAAGAAATATTTCACTAACGAGCGCAAACGTTTCCACAGGTTTTAATGGAACTCGTACTTTTGATCATTGTTAGTTGAACTACATTTCTATCCGTCATTTCTAATCGTATAGCACGACACGAGCTGCATGCGTCATTTCGCATTTGTTGTAATTAAAAACACTCGTAATTCTTTTAATTCTAAATTCCCTTTGGATTTTAATAATATATAAGAAAAGAGAAGAAACGAAAAATTAACGAACCACAAAAAATCCGATGGGGCTTCTTTTTTTTTAATCAACATAACTTTTTAAAGTTCTAATATATGCAGTTTTTCTTTATAAAGATTTTTTATGTCCATTTTATGGAGAAGCGTCAGAACCGGGTATTAGCGCGAACGCGAATTTTCTTTCTATCAGTGAAGGAACAATTTCTGGTAGAAAGATTCATACGTGTGTAGTGGTTAGTTGGCGAAATCTAATAAAAGATTAAAATATTCAGAGCCGTAAAGTGCATCCGAATTACTTATCTCGGACCGCCAACGTCGGATTAAGAACAGTTGAATATTAGCATGCTACAAAGGCCGTGCCAAGGAATTTCTCTTTAGATAATAATAAACAGGAACATTTATCCGTAGATTACAGCGATGAATGAACATGAGAATTCCGAAATTCACGACCCGTACTCCTCAAGCATTAAAAAACACGGTTCTCCGCGACTTTCACAGGAAACGGATTACTTCACGTTCTAATGAAAATGTCTCGCTAAAACCGAGTTAAAAAAGGAATTAAAAAATTGCATTTCCTTCTTTTTTTATTTTTATGTGTTTCAAGCAACATTTACATCATAGAAGTTAGTTTTTATATAACTCTGCGACTTTTCAATGTAAAATTTCACGTGCACAGCATTAAATTGTTTGCATCTAGCATTAAAATTCTAGTATTAAAGTTCAACATCGACAAAAATATAAATATTTAGTTCTATCCCGACGGAAAATATTCTAGCTTTAAATTTTCCATTTGCTAAACTTACATTATCGAAATATTACCGGTGAGTGCGATTCGAGGAAAGTTATTACCTCGTAAAGTTTCGTCTGGCAAAAATATCGATATAAGTCCGTGGAAAAGGAAAATTTAATCTCATTAGAATTCTTGGCTAATTTTGAAAAATCTCGTTAAACGGCATCGGAAGGGAATTCAAAGCTCGAACGTTCGCTCTTTAAAACTGTTCGGACAATATGGTTTCGACAAGCGTGCAGTAGAATCAATCCGTGTTGCGTCGGACAAGCGGAACCACGGACTACTACGGTATTCCCAACAGTGTTACCTATTTATTTTCACGTTTATTCTGGTCATTTTATCTACCCACAATTTTATTTTTAGGAATATGCAGAAATTTACAAATCAATTAGAAAATATAACATTTCGAAATAATTATTTTTTTCTTTTTGCAGCTGCAGCAGATTTTGGAGAGTTATTCGCCTTGGGGTAAACCAGGCGGTGGTGCACCCTGTGCCGCTACTCTCAGAAAGAAAAACGTGCCTCTAGAGCCGCCGGAGCTATCGAAGTGTCACAATTTCGGACAGGTAGAGTTTCAAACAATTTATGTACCTATCATTTAAACATCCGATTGCGTCCGAATATTTTTCACCATTTCCGTAGAAAAATTCAACTTGAATAAGGAGATTTGCCGTAATTCTCACTACGTTTGACGTAAATTCGATAACCATTGACAATCTTTATGCGATATGTGATTATTCCCTGTGTTGCTTTTTGCTGTCTTTGTTATCATTTTCATGTTGTTGCATTGTCGATTCGCCAATGATGGATTTACGTCAATCAATGGCATACACTGGTTTCGATAAAAAGGACGCCGCGTAATAATGTATAATATTTACTGTATGGTTATTTGGATTATTAATTTAATGTTTTCAAAATTACACATGGAGTAATAATTAAAAAAATTTTCAAATCTCACGAGCGAATTAAAACATTTGCTATTTACAAAAATCAAAATCTTGAAGAAATACATTACGAACCGTACGAAGCACGTTGCATCGAAGCTTCGTTTCTTTTTTTTTTAATTAATTAATTACATATTTAAACTTCATCGATTGATTTTTCCAGCCACTTGATTTTCGCGTTAAATTAAAGAATTTAATCAACGCAATAATAGTCTGCTCGATTCCTTTTTCTTTCCGAGAATGTTCTCTACTTTGTAATTAGATAATTTAATATTGACGTAAGCGCCAGCAATTTGCAAAGACATGAATTAATCATTCTTAATCCGAAGATTATCCTCAGCTTTTTAAATAGATGAATTAATCGTTAAATTAATAATTCAAGTTATTATTCTCACGTTATCGATTTTACACTCCGTAAGTAAATAAATACCGAATCTAAAATTCCAAAGTTGCTTCTGTAATTTTCTAATTTCAGTAATTAATTCCATTTTTATTCCTACGTTATCTTACCTTCTATTTAACGTGCTCTACTCTCATTGTACAACTAAGCTTCTTCTTCTGTTAAAGAAAAATTATGACACGTGAAAATTGGAGCGACGTTTTTAAATTTTAATCAAAACGAAGGCCATGTTGGTTCAATCTAAACATTGTAACTCGCTGCGTAATGAGAAACCTTGAATGAAATTTATTTCACTCCCCTGAAAAGTAACGCGGCTGTGTTATCCATACCAACAGGCTATCCTTGGCGAAAGCCACGCGAAAAAGCAAGAACGGTGAGTTGGCGAAATTCCGGGCACGAAAATCTGCGAATAATATTATTCCACGACGTGACGTTATATACAAAAGACAGGCGGTGAGGAAAAGTGGGACGGGATCGAAGGTTGTTTGGAAAATTAGGGCAGCCGCTAGCTGTTTGCAGAAAACAGCGAGCAATTCGCGTTGAAGGATGTCGTTCTAACCCTTATTATCCTGCCAATTACGAGAGCCATTATCATCGTAAAGATGCATTTCGCCGCTGCTCGATAATAACCGTGCAAATGTTTGCCTCCGATATGTTTCCAGTGACGCAACTAGCCTAGTGTGGCGATCGTTCGTGATCGTGATTGGGAATCTAGTCCACAAGGATTATTTGCAATTCAAAGTTATGATAAAAAAAGACACACTCAGCGGCTTTCGTTACGTCTTATACATACATATATACCTGTTTGCCATTTTGTGTGTGACTGCAGAACGAAAGGCCTTCTCGTAGCCTTTCTTCCATTAATTTTCTTTATTCTAAAAATATTATAGAGGAAGAATGTGATAAGTAGACTGCGTAATTTTATGCAGCTTCATATTTTTGTGAATATAGTTAAGTAGCCTAAGTAGGAATTTTCCCCCCGTGTTTTCTTTACTTTATTTTTTGCTATTTTTACAGTCTTATAATTTTAACTTTCTGTTTTAACTAATGAAGTTTCTGATGTTTCATTAACCACACGATGTCATTAAATATTTTTCTCTTCGTTTTATTCGGTTGTTATATTTCCTCATGGTTGAAAGTTGAATGAATTTTCTCGAAAAATTTTGTTTCGATTAATAACACAAGGAACGAACATCGCACTGGAAAAAATATGATCGATAGGAAAGATTTGTCGATGACGAGATGGTGGAAAAATTGGAGAGTAGTTCCTGTCGCTCTTATCGCAGTTGTATCGATAAAATCCAACGATATCGTCGTCACCTCGGTGACGCTGCCTTTCATTAACATCTCAAGTTACTTCGTGCACGAAACTTTCCCGCCATCTCGTTCACGAGTTATCGATTGGAACTCATCGATGTTCTTTATCTGCTTAACAATAGTTTGTTCACAAATCTCGAGTAGCTCTTTCTTTACGCATAATTCTTCACCATTAAGCTAATTTGATCGTTCCACTATTTTAGATCGGTATTAGATCGGTTAAAATTGAGCGTCTTTTCCAGAAATTCTCTCTTTGGATTTTTTTTTATAATTGAAACTTTATCCGGTTGAAGGTTGAGCTAGGCCAATAGTTAGTTTCAAACAACAGTGATCAACGTTTCTAATTAACGACATTTCGTGTTCTCCGATCTATCAAAAATTCAGGGAACAGTTCGGCTTTCACGAAAATGAAAAGTTTCGCACAATAATAAGCGAACGCCACAACGGATTGGAAATGAGGAAAGTTTGATCATGATGGTAGTTTACGTAAGAGGAATTTCGTAATGGGCTTTCCTTGTACGATAAACGTGAAACACTTTTTTCGCAATAACGTCGATAAAGAGGAGAACGTCGACGTAGCTGGGTATTCAGCCCGTTTCCGGTCAGATCGCAGACGTATCGTTCTCCGATCACGTAAAGTTGGAAACGTTTCTACTAGCTTCCTCTGGAAAGAAAGTCGATTTCTCTTCGCGAGGAGACGCGAAAAACTTTACGTCAAGAGAATTTCCTAAGAAAATTCCAACGAAAAATAGATGTCGCCCTTTTGTTTCAACTGCTGCTCATTCCAATTCGACTATCGAACTTTCCTCTGGGAAAGTTAAATTACATGAATAAGAATCGAAAATTTTATGGCGTCGCGGGGATGAATTCAACACTCGTGGCGTTCGCATTTTTCTTTGCGAAACGATTCTAGCGAGATTTCTATCGAGTGAGATCGGATTTTTAATAGCGTGATACAGACGTGTCTGAAAGCGTAACAGGTAAGTCCGTTTGTTAAACGTTTCACGCAGTGGTCAAGGAGTGTTGAATTTATCCCGAATGTTGAGATAGCAATCGGGTGCAATGATTTTGCGCACGTGCTTGAACGCGAATCAGTCACCTCGCGGATGCAGGAAACGAACCTTGGAAACTGCTTAATACGCTATGACGCCGTGTGCTTAGCTGGCACCGCTCTGGCCCTGGGGTCGACCTGGTCCGGGTGGAGTTCCTTGGAGGGATCCCAAGTTGCTGGGTGTGCGCTTCCTCGAGTCTCTGGTACGCATACTTTTCGATGCGTTAGGTACTTAGGGTTCACCAACGATTGGCTTGTTAATCAGACTTTGTTTCTCTGAAACCTATTTGTCCAAAACCTTGTTTGTAAATTGAGGCATTTGAGTTTATTTCTTCCTTTCACGTTTGCGTTTGTTTAATTTTTCATTTATAGCCGAGAGTTACTTTAGCGTACACTGATCGTGATTTTTCACTTGTTCACAAGTTCTTCTTGCCTGATTCAGACTGATTGGCTGAAAACTTGTACATAGGCTTTGATCGTACATCTTCGATCGTAAGTATTAGGAAATCTACGGAAAGCTAGATTAAAAATGAATTGTTGTTACGAAGTTGTGTTAATCTCAACAATTACACAACTGAATTAAATTTCTCTCCGTCTGTATTTGTTGCATCGTCATAGTTAGTTCTCATGCAATATTTATTGTTTTTCCCACGAAAGCAATTAATTTCAGTTCTTTTCAATAACATTTCTCCCGGGGAAAGCAAATTATTCATTCGCCACTCTTTTACAATTCTGACAAACAATTTCAGCTAATTTGTCTCGTATAAATTCAAAGTTTTATAATTTAGATCAATTGCTACGTTCTTTAACAGACCAACAAGTGTCCTAATACTTATGAAACATGTGAAGCTTTTAGATCGGGATGCATGACCCGCTCGGCAAAGGGAGATTGAATCGTTGAAACCGCAGCGAGATGCAATCAAGACCTTGCTTGGGATTTCCGTCTGGATTTCTGCGACTTGGTACACACGCAAGTTAATGTGCCGTGTAATAGAAACGGATGTAACGACGCGTACAGTGTCGGCGCAAAAACGGACGTAGGTTTTTTTCTATCGAGCTGGAATATCATCGTATACTTGGTGGCTGTTGATAAACAACGTTTGATGTGGAAATTAGCGTTTATATTAACGTGCTTTCGAGACACGGCGGTCGCGTTTCCGTGGAGACGCGGCTTCAATCGAGCGCACCACCCAACCATCCCTGGTCTCCTTTCGGGCTTTCGTTTCGGTCTCTCTCTCTCTCTCTCTCTCTCTCTCTCTCTCTCGGCAGGGCCAATCATCTCCGGAGGACGAAACTCTTAATTTTTAATTAACCGCCGTAGCATCCCCGAATAGCAAACACATAACCGTGCCGCGTTACTGCGTAATTGAACGATCCTCAGTCCAGCATCGGCGGCACCGAAAGTTTAAACTAAAATTTATTAGCGCGTTCCACTTCAGCCGAGTTTCCCGCACGTAAACTCGTCTCCTAGCAGGAAGAGTGCCTCCTTTTCCCTGTTTTTCTTCACCCTTTTCCATCAGGCATTCTTCGGCTCGGTCTCTTCAAAACCGTTAACGTTGTCTCGGGGCGTAAACCCTGCTCGCTCCCGGGCATGGATTTATGGAGAAGTTTTCTGTTTTTCTTCATAATAAACCGCACTGTTTGCCTTGCTGCAACTAACTAGCAGCTAACTAGAATGACGTTGATGAATGAACGATGCAACCGCGTTAAATCGAGCTTGGAGCTAAGCGATTACTGATTATCTGATGATAGATTTTCCTGTCAGCTCTATTGCCCTCCTTCGTGATTCACTCTTTCATTTATCCTTCTCTGGATTATCCCCCTCCTCGCTTGTGTTTTCATTTGCGCGAAGATTCTTTTCTCTCGGCTGAGTTTTCACCTTCAACAGCGAGATCCTTTCGTTCTTTCCTTTTTATCTTTCACACAAGCGACGTGATCTCGGTGGTTCAGTTAACGGAAAATCAAAAAATACCATTTTAATTTCAGTTTCGTCAAAGTACGACGACCGACTGGTACTTTTATCAAGATACTCGTCTCAACTCGTCTCGGGAGACTGTGTCTCGATGGTTCTTACAAAATCGTAGAGAGACTCGGTAGAAAATAGAAAAAGTTTGAAAGATCGTGCATAAAGGAGTTAGACAATGGCGCTTGGATAGAAACACCGTTACGTTGCTAGATCTTAGAACGCGATGAACGCGAGTCCAAGATGTGAATATCAATGGGCTTTGTGTCCCACTTAACTCGATTCGGTTTGCACTGCGCAAGCTGCATCGCAACTGCAGCCAGTTATCACTTTGAATCCTTTCAGGGCTGGACGAGCAATTCCACCATCGAAAGGTTACACAGAAGGAGTATTAACCCTTTGCCCGTCACGGATATGAACAAGTTCTTTGATGATAAAGCAGAACCAGGTAAACGGTCGGAAATTCCCGGTGTCGGGCGTTGGAAGGTCAGCATCCGGTTTCTAGGTCAGTCTATTTCCTAGGTATCGCCACAGATACGCGGCTGGTACGGGATTCGAAAAATCCCTACAACGAGGAAATTCAGGTGTACGAATTGACTGGCGGCGTGGAATTGGTCCCGCTTTTGACCAGCAGACGTTATTACTCGCAGTCACAAAACACTCGTCACGTCGCCACCGACGCCACCCGTCCTGGGTACACGATAGATTCGTACGTATTGCGTTTTGCAAATGGATCTCGCAGTCGCTTCTTAGCTTTTATTTTCCTGCGTCACTTTCATTTTTTCCCTTTCCCATTAGTCTCCTTTTCCGTTGCGAATGTTCCTGTCTGCTTTACGTGGATCGTCTTGATTTCTGATAGTTGACCCTTGGACACACTCTCGTGTCTACTCACACAACGTTCTAACAATTTCTCCTTTTCTTCTTGTTACGAATAATCTTCAGCTTCCTCGCCAACTGTTGTCCCGATGTTTCATTATCGCGTCAGCTCGTGGTAAGCTTTCCGTTCTACCGAATGTGTTCTCCCTTGTCGTTCGGGCGCAATCTCGACGTGTCGAAAGACACGCCATATCAAAATGCGACGAACCATGAGCCTACAATGCAGGTCTGGTTAGCGTTGTTACGCTACTCCGGGGGATATAACTGCATTACAGGTAATCAACCCATTGACCTGAACTCTCTCGACCTCGACAAGTTCAGCTGACGGCCCCTCCGCAGCGTTCCTCTTCCTCTCGAATGTTTGTCAACGTTACAGTCTGTCGCTCTGTGTGCTCGTCAACAGTTTTCCTCCCTCTGATTTTCCTCCAGTTTCAAGGTGTTTCGGGTTCAACTAAGCGCTGAAAAATCGCTCGAGACGGCTGCCTCGACGGGTATTGTCGCTCGTCCCCAGTCATTCCCCTTTTACTTTCTTCCTACACTTTGAAACACGTTGCCTCTCCTCCGTTAAGATTTGAAAACGAAATGAACGTAAGAGCGCGACTAATTCTACTTGCTTCAAGAAAAATTATTCATCAGAGAGAATCTACATTTCTGACACCTTCGAGACACCTTCTGACAATTTTTCGATTTAGAATTTCTCTTTGAAACGTTTTTGAATCCCTCCTCTGCATTTATATTATGTCCTACAACGTCATAATTCCGCAATTATTTTACAACCGACATTTATTCAATGTCGGTGAAATAATGTTACCGTCAAATCATACAAATTTGATATTAAATTATTCAACATTTCCCCATTTAAATTATTCGAGATTCAATATTTTCAAAAGCAAAATCTTGTCAAGAGTAAAATCTCTTTGACATTTCTTAATTTCATCAATTTTCAAAAGTTCTGATGGTTGTCGGATTTAACGTCTCTCTTTCTTCAACGTGATTTTATGATTTAATTGAAATCGTTAAAATTATTACTGCTGCGACTCAATTATTCAAGATTCGTTAGTTTGAAGAGTAAAATCCATTGGACTTTGACATTTCACAGTTTCATCATTGATTGCTATCTATTTCTGCTTTCGTCGAAAGCAAACGTTGAATCAGCTACAACTCGGCGGCAAAATTTTTCGCACAAAGTTTTAGAAATTAAAATCATCCCGCATCTCTGTCACGATATTAATACATCGTTTTACGATTCTATTTTCACTGAAATAATATAGCCGAGGGCATATTGTTTTATCATGACATCGTTATATATCGTTACCGATTACAGATGGGAACACTGAGAGACTAATGTATAACGAGACAGTTTGATAGCGTTTAATGGAATTTTGTATGAAGCAGCCGCCAGAGGTGTTACGTTGTTTATAATACGGTTGGACATCAGTGGAACATCGCGGCAATTAATCATCGTTGATTATCGACTGCCTTGTACAGGAAAAGGCAAGAGAATCGACGCGATACGAATCTTCAGATAATCGATTATTCTTCACCCATAGTGACGTTCTCTCTTTCTTGTTTCGCTAAATAGAGAAGGCTGTGTAGACACGGCAAACGGACGTTCTAATTCGCTTGTTGTGTCCGTTAATGAAGGGACTCTTATCTCGCAGAATGATTGTTGACGAAAGAAAGAAACACCGGAACAATGCCGCGCTCCTATTTCCACTGTCATCGCATTTTGTTAGCTCAGCGACTAAATAAAATTCCATGTTACTCGGGAAAGACACGGTCAGCAAACTTTTCCAACAATTTCTACCTGAATCTTTCGCAACTTCTTTACGAAGTTACGAGTTCGAAAGAAGTACCTCTGAGGGAGAGATAAGGAAAATTCTTTTCCATTGGGTCAGCCTGTGTGTATGTGTGCGCGCGTGTGCGTGGCTGTTTACTTTTAATTAGCGGTTCGTGTTGCATTTCAGTTATGCAGATTCTAAATACTTGGAAACTCGAGAGTTGACGTTTTGCAATAACCCGGTGAAACTTCAATTTATTCCGAAAGTTTTCTGATCGCTACAACTTTGTTGTTTTCGGAACGCTGTTCCATTGTCGATTTATTCCTCGCCGTTTTCTTCATCGAGATACGGAGAATGGTCTTCTCGGCCGGCGAGAAAATACCAACCCTTTAGAAAGAGGGATTAGCCCCGCGTAGTGTAAAAAAAAGAAAAAAAGAAAAGAAGACTGCATCCTCATCAGAGTTTCTAGCGCTTTATCTGCATAATGTCTCGTACACCGGTGGCTATTAAAAAGTAAATACCCTTGGCGGACTGCTCTCCGACTGCTGGGTGTCTCGTAAGGTGACATCGCGCTTATCTTTTCTTTGGAACGTTGCTTAAACCTTCCTGGACACAGCGAGACAGGGAATTACTTCGACTCTTTGGAATTGAATATTTATGATTATTTATAGCGTTTTATTTATCTCGCGAAGACGAGGGGCAAAGCTATTTCGCTATATTTTATTCATTTAAACATCGCGCCATCCCTCTCATAAGCTCACGTGGCTAACTTCAGTTTTTAGTGGGTAAAAGTTTTTATGCTCAATTCTCAAGGAACAAACGACTTGCTTCCACGAGTTCATTTATTACGAGAAGACGATATAAATAACAGCGAATTCCAAGCTGAATTTAAAAAAAAAAGTGTTTGTAGCGTCGTCACTGGATTATTTTGGAATTTCCATGCAAATTCATATTTTTTTTTTTTTTTTTTTGAAGTAAATTATAACAGATACTCAATTTTGGATATTTTTACGTATTTTTCTGTACTGTGTGCAGTTCATGCATTTTTGTAGCTTTAAATCTCCCATAAATGCATAAAAGTTCTACTTTCAGTTTATGAAATTGATCCGCGTGAGTTTTAAACGGCTCGTAACGTATCATTTTTACATTATTACGCGAAATTTATTCGCTCGCGAGAAAACATTGATAAAAGATGTATTAAACTACGGGTACCCGGGATAATATTCGTGTAAAAAAGTCGAGCACCGCTCGGAAACAATATTGCGATAGTTCTCCGAGAGCAATAGAAGTTTGTATTGCAGCAGGTTGGTCTCTCCCGTAAGTGGAAACGCAGTAGCAAGTAGTTGGCGAGTGTGTAGCTTCATACATTATCGTTTTAAAAAAGAGCTGATATCGTTCCGGCATCCCTTTGTTTTGCAAACACTTTCCTTCTTTGCTTCTTACAATTCGCTTAACCTGCTTTCACATTTCGTTCTCGAGTGTACAATCGTTTTATGTATTGTGGCGACGTTTATCGGAGAAATAGAAGAGAATCTGTTTTTTCCTCACTTAGAAAACAAGAAGGTTGTTTCAACAGCACGCGTAGTTCGGAGTAGCTCGTTTCTTCTTTTTTTTTTTCGCTTTTGATTTACACTTTATTTTGTCGCAATATCAGTTTCCCCTGCACGTTACTTTTTCAAATCGTTCCGCTGGATTAAAACCAATTTTCGTGATTGAAAGCATCGTTTAAGAATAGTCGGCGGTCGTTTCACAAGCGCGAAACAGTTTCACAATATCGGCGTTATCGTAAGTTTTTATAGAAATCGTAATGAGTCTCGCGGCCATTATCCGAATCAGCGAAATTCACAAGCTATTGCCAGATTATTTATACCGGGCGTTTCCACTTTGTTTGCCCGGCGGAGGTTTCGCGTGCACCAGCCGCAATATTCAGCCGGAAAATTTCCAATATGCGCGAAGCAATTATAGGCCACAGTTTTAATCGTTCGTTTTCGGCTAAACGGTTTTTGGGAAAAAGATGTTGTTCGCGTATGAACGAGCTTCTTTGAACGCGAAAAATCGCGGCCACGGCCTCCATGAGCGCGTGATTCCATTCGTTTGGAACGAAATTGCAATTTGTCGTGTTACATGAAACGTGCGTCCGCCATGCGAGAGCGAAACAACGCACACATTTTTTTTTCATTTATCGAAATCATGTGGACCAGCGTGCTCGAAAAGCGAAATGACGTAAATCGAACGTTATTGAAAATATCGGAATTTACAAAGCTGATCTGCGCCGCTTTTGTCGCTAGATTGCGATCGCTGGGAGTTGGGGATCGTGAATACATCGCCGAGCTGGCCGAGCAAATGCGACGAAAACGGGAGAAAGCATTGGTAAGCGTATATATTTAGAGGTAGGTTAATTTGACTTTTGATCAACCGTGATGGATGTTCCTCACGTTACACGTAATGGACTTTTATGCAAACTTTGCATTATTTACTTGCACGCTTGATAAAAGCCAGAAATAGCATGCTGGTGTGAAGTGAATGCTTGGATGAATTATAATACAATGCAACGTCAGAATGAAATGCAGGTATTCTGGTATATCGAGCTGTTGCTCTCAAGGAAGAAAATGAAGAATACAAAATATAAATAACAGAAACGTAGAATTAGTATTGCGTCGAATCATGCCTCGATATTTTGCAACAATTAAATGGAGAAAGGAAAACGTATCGGATAGTTCTGACATAAAAATTGATAAAACATCCAAATTCATCGACTAACAGAAAAAAAGCGTAGTGAAATCAGATTTTAAACACTTTGGATCAAAAACTCAAAACTTCAAAATTCGATGGATTAGTAGTTCTTAGTTTTTTTCTAGAATGCTCGATAAAACGATTCTGGCGTGGCACTGCATGTTAGATGCTTTGGAATTTCAACAGCGTGGTTCGACTGGCAATCGCTTGGTCGGATCGGATTCGATGATAAAGAGAGTCTCGCGTGTAGCTTGTGTAAAAGGATGATTTTCGTTCCAGGAGGAACGAAAGATGGAGTTGGAAAGCTGTCGAAGACATTTCGATACCTGGAGAAAGTTGTGGGGCCGGCCGGGTCACGGTGCACCCATAGATCACGCCCATCGTAACAATCTCTACAACATTCTCTACCGTCCGGCTATCTATTGAATTTCCACTTGCCGTTGCTGCGAAAAATCAGGACTGCATCCTCCGCTTTCTTTTCGTGCAATGGGAGGAACTTCTGCGAAATCTCTTTATCTTATGGAGAGAATTGCTGCAGGGCGAACAACTAGCTATAAAAGATAATAGGTTCGCTAGTCTACGATACAATATGACGATAAAGGTCGATGGAGATACAAGTTTCTTTCTTAGGATGGTAGATTTAGAGAGAACGGAATTTTCTTAGTTTGCAAGTGGATGGATAAGTGATGGATCGTTACGAAATAGTACGTAAAAGTCCTGTACAACAGCGTAGAAAAGAAATTGACAGAAAATTGTCAGAAATGTTTAGATGAAAATGTAGAGATGGTGAAAACAATGATACGAGAAGCAGCGGTTCTTTAGTAGCATTTTGCTACTAAAGTAGCAAAGTAGAAAGTAGAATCATATGAATATAAGAACGTAGAATCGAAGAATTAGTTAACGAGACTTTCGTCTTGCTTTCGAGAAGTTTTCGATAATCAAGTTTCATGGATATCCGCTGTTATTTCATTGTTACGAAGCACTTAAAGTAGAGCGTGTTTTAACATTTTACATACATGTTAGATACTCGGTCACTCTAAATGTACGTCGATCTAGCTTGTGTGTTTGTACATGTACAGGTCAAATGCCTACAGATGCAGAGTCCATTTCAAGTTGTTCCCCAATTTTCAACGAATAAATAATTGCTTTTACACGAGCCAACGTGAAATGTCAACGGACACGTCTCTCTCTCTCTCTTCTTCCATTTTTCTCTGAAAAAAAAAACACGTCACGAAGGAAGAAAAAAGAATGTCTATAATATCGATTCACCACGGGCCCTCTCTGTCTCGAGAGAGACGATTACAGTTTGAAGGATGATTTCGTCCATCCATAGAAATATGGAAGAGGAAATCAGTACGAATGGCTTTCGCGAGGTAATACACGTCGAACCGAGTGAGGGAACGTGTCGGGTGAGCTATTAAATTTCATGAAAGCTCTCGAAGAGTACGGGCGAGACGTTTGATAAAGTAGAGGCGTGCTACGATTGACCAGATCTCAAAGGAGCAATCTCGAGAGAACGTGGCTACCCTTCGAACCGATGATTTTTAAATTTCATGAACACCGAGGAACACGGATTTGAATATATCCGTGTCTGTGTGCGCGTGTATGTGCCTTTTTTTTGTGCGCGCGCGCGTGTAAATCACAGATATTCGAAGATAGTCAAAAGAAATGAATTGCTGTCGATACTGCTGTTCTCGAAAACCTTTATTGGTTGCTTCGGGTTCAGGAGCAACGTCAAAGAACGATGGCCAACAGACAAGCGAAGAAAGGAAAGAGAAACAGCCCGGGCTCGTAAAACAGTTTGCAATATCGCATGCCATGCTAAATGGAGCGAAGCGAGCTGTGCGTTTGAACACGACTCGCTCAAAGATCTCCCGTGCACTATAATATTTCGAGGAAATACTCGATAGAGGTTCAGCCCGGACTACTTTCACTATTTGCCTGCGTTGCATCGAAATTAAATGAAATTGCATTTAAAGGAGCTGTTTAAAAACCTGTTCCTTTTGTTTCGTAAACAGAACGTAAAGTAGGAGAAGCAATATCATGTGAAGCGTACCTCCCTTGCTTCTGTGAAGATGATTCCTCTTTGCTCCAATATTTATTGCTCGAATATTATATGTTACTCGAAAGAAAACAGTTTAGTAAAACAAAATACATATATGGAGACGACTACACATACTGTGAATTTCATTGCCGAAACTTTCTCGTTTATCCCTCGAAGACGAGTTTTTTTATATTACATTGATAAAATATCATGTATTCGAACGAAAGTAGTTTGTTAATAAAAAAAAGCAAATGTATATCAGGACTAGTTCTGTATAATGTAACTTTCATCTCCTCATTCTCTTGCGAAGACTTTTTTGTACTGGATAAAATGTAACAGGGTGACGTTACAAAGTATGTACGTATGGGTAGAATTACAAAGAGTTTACCCAAGAGTGAGAGAGCTCACTGAAAAACGTGCACACAGGGTACTCTATCCGTCGGATGTTGATTCAATAATATACTAATTAGACATCAATTAACCAGCCCGAGTGGATGTAGTTTGACGTGCCTCGGCTCTAATGGACGTCTCCAATTTAATTTGGATGTTGTTCCGGAGCAGCACGGTTGCAGTTTGTATTCCTAAACGCGCACCTTTGTTCCGTCGCTGGACATAGAGAACGCTAGTTTCATCCTTTCGCTGGGTAACGTTTTCCTCCCCCTGGAAAGCCACGGAATCCAGCACTGTCGCGCATCTCTCTGGTTACGATCCCTCCGTCCGAGCCGCAGCCACCGCCGGCCGAAAGCTACGCTCTACCCATTGTCTGACTATTGTATTCCGTTACCACTGTGTGTCCGTTCGTTTGTATAAGAGTGATTCATTTTCCGCGAAATATCAGTTCCTGCGCCGCATGAATTGCAACTCGCACAGCCGCGTAAAACCGCCGCGCATTGCAACCCTTCCACCGTTCAACACATCCACCCCTGCATTTGACTCTCTCTCTCTCTTTCTCTCTCTCTCTCGCTCTCTTGTTGCCCTCTTCTTCTTTATCGTTTATTCATTTCTATCTCTTTCGCAGAGAGTGCGGCGCATTGTCGCGAAATTGGGTCGGTCGCTCGTTTGAAATGAGATAGGCGGCTAGCGTCGGTGTCGGTGAAAATTGGTCATTGCTATCTCGTTTTCACCTACGTTTTTCCCTGTCCCCTTCCTCCTCTTTCTTTTTTTTCCCTCTGTCGTCCCTTTTCCTTTCGCGTGCCTATTTGACGCGTATTTAGGGAGCCACGCAGAACGGAAAAACATCGCCGTCTCTTCCGGTCGGTCGTTTGCGCAAGACTCTTTAATTTCCGGCTTCGCTTTCGAGAACAGCCGAATCGCAACCTCGAATCGCATATCCGAAATATACTCGCGGTACTGTACGCTTGGACGGGGTTCGCAAAGCTATCGTGTGATTTCTTTTTTTTTTTTGAAATTAACGAATGCCCCCCGATCCTGGGTAAGTTGGGTAACAGTTTGAACATATTTTTATTTATATCGATGTATGAAAAAAATTCTACATACGGAGTTGATACGATTCAGAATTCTATTAGAGTATTAGAGCGCATTGTATTTGCGTTGTAGGTTTTACAAAATTACAATTACGTCTTCCAATCGTAAGTAAATACGTTCTTGTAGAAAAGATCTCTACACATGGCCATGTCGAGAAAAAAATAATTATGTCAGATTACAATCCCTCGGAACCATTTATTTCCATTTGAATTATTTTTCGTCCATCAGTAATTTCCAGCAATTGCGTATATTTATATGTAACTGTAATACTACTATAATATTACTATTTGCAAGCGAAATTTAAAAGATGTTTTCCTACGATGATCACGCAGGTGAAGATGGCGAACGGCGGAAATAATTTGGCAGTTCTCCTTTCACTCGTCTCAGAGACGTCATCGTTTTTCCTATCCTGGGACCATGTACCATCCTACCTTCCATATCTGTTGGATTGTGAACGCGACATCGATAACAAGTTGACAGGTCCATGTATAGATGTGAATACACGCGCGTATATTCCTCTCGCTTGTGACACCATTCGCGTATAGAAAACGCACGTGAATAGTATATCGATATAGTTCGGTGTATACGGAATACGGTTCCCGCGTGTGCGCGTTAACTTTTTTTCTTTTATCCGCGAACGAAGTGAAAATCAGGACTAAAGGGACGCCTCTTGAATCTGCATCGCTGCACGATCTACGAACGGTGAGTCGCAAGTTTTATTCCTTGCTCTTTATATCTTGGTATCTCTCGTAAATAATTATTCGCAATCGGGAATTTGTCGAGATATTGTCTAAAAACTGCGAGCGCTTCGATTTGGCTGAAATTTTGAGATACCATCGTCGTCTTGAATTTTTTAGAAATTTTAGCCAAAGTCGAGGCACAAACTCTCGGGGGAGTACACAGCGAAGAACCGTGAAACTGATGCGAATTTTTTGTTAGGCATTGCCAACAAAAGTATTAGGGAAACGAGCGCGAGTAATTTCGTCTCTTGGCGGGAAGATACGTGACCGTGCAAGCGGCGGAAAAATTTCAGTCGTAACGACGATGAGTCCGATGATTAACAGCTCGACCATAACGAGCGAGCTTCGGTCCTACTTAATTAGAGATGGGGTAATTTATACGGCGGACGCGTTCCACGTTCGCCGGCGACACCCCTTTCTTCCTTTGTAGCAGCCGTTTCCTCCTCGATCCCCCACTTTTATTTTTCACCGTTAATTGTCTCGTAGAAACGGCCCTAAAGGAGTGCAATAAATTTCCGTCTCGCGAATTTTTCCCACACGCCGCGATCAATTATTTCCCACTATTTTATATATAGAACGAGTGGTTCCTCTTCTAGTTCGCGTGGCAGACTCGAATGCTGCTTTATCAATAGCGAAACAAAGAAGAAAGGAAATGCGAGCAGACCCCTCAGAGAGATCGATCGTAACCAAGAGGAATATCGAATGCTATCTCTCTTTCGTTAGATTAGAACTTTCAGTTTGATTAAACGCGCCGCTTTTCATCGAGATTCGCCAAGCCAGTAATTTTTGTGAGAGTTATATCCGGTAACGAATTTATCCGATGAAAGGCCGGCATCGCCTTAGCAGCCGGTGGCGTTTCACGTCGTGAAATTTATTAGTTTTGGAAAACGATATAGGAGATTCCCTTATTGTATCGTCGACAAGCTTGTCCGACGGAATTAGCTGCCCCGTCGAGAATATCGCCGCGATAAACAAGCGCGCGCGAATCAATTTTTCGTTGGGCCAGGGATTTTTATTGCGTCAGAAGTGAATTACCGGGCGTTGAATGAAGTTAAACGAGTTTCTCATTGTTTCTCACTCTGACCGAGCGCAAACAAACTTGCGGCGAAGTTTTTTCCCGTAAATACGTGAGAACTGTCTTAAAGGCCTGGGTGAATTTCAACTCGGCCGATACTCGGAACGCGAGAGCTGAAAATAAGTGGATCGATTCGCAATTCCACTCGTCTCCGCTGGCTTTCTTCCGCCGGCTGCCAGCCAGCGTGAATCGATCTTCGTCTTCGCCGCGATTTACGTCGAGATCGGTTTCAACCGGAGGTTCACCGCGAAACGCCGATAATTGATTTTACAAGTTTCAGCAGGCGAAGCGTTTTCCGCCTGTTTGTAAATCGTCGGTGCCCGCGTGTAAGCGATGGATCGCGAAATCGCGAAACTTTCCGCCGGCGAAACGGTGCCGATATCGACCGAACGGTTTCTCAGGTTTCTCCGAACGGTTACAACCAGGGAACGTGGTACGTGATATTTGTTCTATCGGGATTTCATAGTTGCTTAGAACTCGCGTTGCCATGACCGATCGCTCTTCTTTGGAAAACTGCGATTCAAATTGAACGCGAAGGTACTTGCGAAGAGTGGAGTTTGATTGCAAGTAGACTGCGAAGTTTTCGCGCAGTTGCAGAGATTTCGAAATTAAAGTCAAACTTGAGATAAATTAAATTTAATTCAAACGTATGAAACATTGAAAGTATGGCTTTTGGTCATCGAATGAAAACTACGAACATTTAGTTCAAATTACCGTTGAAAATACCGAGTGATTCTAATTGAATAGGTCCATAGGATACTTGTTAAAATATTGCAAGATAAAACAAGCATTATAAATCAATTGTTGTTAATACTTGTTAATAATTTTTCTTGTAATTACCGAGTACAAGATACCGAGTACAAGTGCTCTCTATTTGCCTTGTGATTTACAAGCTTCGACGATAATCAAGAATAACGCGGGCGGAATAAAAGTGGGTATTACTTTACGATAGTAAATTCTAATTTCGCGGCTGCTCCACTTGCGCAACAAACGCGACGGTGTCGATGTAAATTATATCGGTTGGCAAAGAGTTGTACACGTACGTGATACTCGCGCGACTAGAAGAGTTCTCGTTCACGTCACGGAACGTGCTCGGTGAATTTGAATTCCGACACGGCCCTGATTCTGATTCTCATCTTCGGCTTCACATCCGTCCATTTGTCTTCGTATCCACGTTTGTTGGCCTCAGCCGCCATTTTTATCGAGTTCGCCGATGCACTCAGAATTCAAATAGACACGAAGCTATGGCAAACCGTTCAATTGAATTTCACCCGAGAATCGCGCGTTCCGTGATCAACGTCGTACGTCTTTCGCGGCCAGCACGCCGTTAATTCTTTGTAATTCGATTAATTCCCAGGGAAATTGCAGAAAGTCGCTCCATTACATTCCCTTGTTCGTCCTCTCTATTTCCGAGCAATTTCGTTATCGCGTTTCGTTCGGCCAATGAAATTCTAATCAATTTAAGTACACTATGTCTTTCAAATTCGCTGCTCGCTTCCTCTTCTGTCGAATCGCGCCTTGGATTTCAGTAAAGTTAATCCGAAAATGATTGAACGATAATCTAACTTTCCGTGCATTTTATGTTCCACGCTGATCCGTGAAATCCGTGAAATAGGTATATCCTATTGGGAAAGTTCCCGACCAAATGGAGGTATTCGAAAGTATATTAAAAAGCATCGAAACATGTAGGATTCGAATGTTTTTGAACAGTTTCGAATACTCGTGTTGGACCAAGCATTTTTTACCTGAATCTCGATTTATTCGAAAGTCTCACGTTTAACAAGATTCTCTGGTCTTACAAACGCAGCTCAATCTTCTGCAAT